CTGCAGATTCTGTAAAAACACCTCAATACCCTTAGGACAAGTGTTTTTTACATTTTTCCCCCATAATGCACATGCACTTACAAAGAGAGACAGAGAGAGGGAAAGTGAGTAATCAAACCCCCTAGGCAGGATGGCCACACCACATTCCCTTCTCTTCCATTCTCCTTTTGAGATTTGGGGCATGCATGCACATGCAACCAGCATGGCTTTTAAGCTGCCAGTCTGGACTTCGAACTTCAGCCATGTGGGAGTCCAGCAGCTCAGCCACCATGCCTCCTACTGGCCCGCACTCATCTTTTTATATCACCCTAACTGGAGTATTTCCAAAAATCCTAGCCAAAACAGATAGGTTGAATTTGAAATGTGTATTCAACATTTAAGAGAAGTTGGAAATCTAGGTCTGAATGTATAGCAGAATTTGGGGGGCTTTTGGTTTCGGTAAGGGAATAAATGAATTCACTAGAGTATGTGAAGTTGTCAGGAAGAGCCCAAAGTGAAGGAAAGAAGGGAGACAACTGAAAGAGATGAAGGATGCATCTCTTGGTCTCTTCCAATATTTAAGAAATGTATCACACAAAGAGAACATGAAAAAGGTTGAAAACAGAAAATCAAGAAAGAATGCTTTGGTCGAAGCCAAGAAATAAGAGTGTTCAGGTTGTGTTCAGGTCATAATCACAGAAAATCCAGCCACCAGTGGATTCAATACGTCTTGATTTAGTGATCTCACACAACAAGCTGTTCAGAATTGACACAATAGAGCAATGAGGCTATCAGCAACTGAGGCTCTTCCTTTTTCTCCTACCACTATCCTGAGCATCTAGGTTTTCGATTTTTCTTAATTTTCTTTTCTTTTTTTTTTTTTGGAGAGGTTTTGGCTATAGGGCATGTGCACTCACCAGAAAAAGAGACAGAGAGACTGAAAGCGAGAAATCACCCCACAGGGGGGATGGCCACATCGCAATCCTTCTCCTCCATTCTCCTCTCGGGATCCTGGACACACACGCACATGTGCCAGGCATGAGTTTAAGCTTCCTGGTCCAGGACTTGAACCGCAGGTGACTACACGGGAGTCCAACGACATAACCATTATCCTATCTGCTGGTCATCCTCCCTTTTTTTCCCTCCAAATTCATACAGGGAGAGTGCAGTCACCAGAGGGAGATAACGGGAGAGACACAGAGAGAAAGTGAGAAAGCACTTTCCAAGGAGAGATGGCCATACCACAATCTCTTCTCTGTTCTCTCAGGATTTTGGACAGGCACTCATATCCACCCAGCATATTTTTCAAACCAATGGTTCTGGGAGTGAGAACCACACAGTTGACCAAGTGGGATCTAGCTTTCCTTAACAACCACACCACAGGCTGGCCCAGTTCTTCATCCTATGACAAATATTTCCCTTCCTATGTTCAAGGTAGGAAGGGAAATAGAAAGGGGAAAACAAACGAAGGGTTAAAGTCAGTAAAGGTATCAGTACCTTAGAGAAAAGAGAAAGCTTCACAAGAAGCCCTTCTGTCCCATGGGTCAGAACTGTCACTTGGCCATCCCTAAACAGAAGTGAATTTAGGAGGTCAAGGAGGATAACAACTGAAGATAGATGGTAGCAGGGTGGGTGATGAGTGAGAATGGTTTGGTGTAGAGGGAGCTGGATTTGAAAATTGGGAAAACCCTGGCAATCTTATCAAAAGCAGTATTTTCAGAGGGTATTAGGCACGAAGACTCTGCCAGGAATATATTAAACTTGTTGAGACTAACTGGTAGGTGAGACATGAGACTAGATCATTCATTTCCGATATTTGAAAGGAGCATGATGGAGGAGAGAAAATCTGAAGGGGAGACATAACAAAAAGGTGTTTTACTTAGTTTTAGGATTTTTAGTACTTGAGCATACTTACAGACTGAGGGGCAGAAACCATGTGAGAAGGTAAGACTTAGGGTATAAGCCAACTGTTGGGGAAAAAGAGATTAAACACATCCATGACACCTCTTCCTCCAAAACAACAAAAGAATTAAGGTTCAAAAGCAACAGCATCAATTTGGAAGTATGCAAGAAAAAAGTATGATTGCAGCCATTCTTATTTTCATAAAAATGCTTTAAAAGTGTTTAACTTTTTAAAAAAGAATTATTTAAGTTTATTTATTTACTTATTATTTTTTAGGGGGGTGGGAGGGTGCTTGCTTTCTCCCTTTCTCTTTCTCTCTGTTCAAATTAAAATAAATGAATAAATAAACAAAATTAAATGAATAATTCTTTAAAAAAAAGAAAATCTTGGGGCCAACAGGTGGTGTGGTAATTAAGGCACTGGACTCCCCACATGGCTGACTGTTGTTTGAGTCCCGGACCTGGCAGCTTGCTTTCTCACTTTCTCTTTGTCTTTCTCTGGTCGACTTCAAAGATAAATAGATAAGTAAATAATGAGTTAAATTAAATAATTCTTTTTTAAAAAAAGGTATCTTGAATTTACTATCATTCAATTTGAGGAAAAGCACGAGAAAGTAATGAGATCTCACCAGAATTTAAGTTCTGCTTCGTTTATTTAGATCAATGACCAGACACAAGCTAAGTAGAGATCACCCTTAGGCGCTTTCTGGCCTAAATAAATGAGATCAAGAAGGGCGGTATCTTTCATGAGCATCTGACAATTCACATTTTTTTCCTTCCTTCCTTCCCCCGCTGGAGGGCCCCACAAGGTATGGGGATGATACTTGGCGTTTTGCTCACTCTTTGGAACCAAAAGCAGTGAAGGGCAGACGGGGCGGCCGAGCCCTTGCCAGCAGCATCCAGAATTTTATAGCTCTTCAAATTTATTTCGGTCCTGATCTCAACTCCTTCACTTTCGAACCCTTGGGGGTGGCGCTCAGCGAGGCTTAGAGAGCAGGTAGATACCAACTGGAATCTTCAGAAAACGGAGAAATAAAAAGTCGAACAAAGAAACTACAGTAGCAACCCAAGTTAGGTTCTCCTTGATTTCCAAAATCAGAGCTCTGATCTGACGAGCCAGGAAACGACTCTCACTTTTCATTGGCTGACCCTCCCAGAGTTGAGCCTTTGCTTTGTTTTCATTGGTTGTTGCTACTGTCACGTCCTTTCACCACCCCCACCTTTCCGTCGGCGCCCAGTGAGCTTTGGGGGAGAGTGATTTACTGTGATCGGGGGCGGGAGCTCGAACATAGCGAGCCTGTCTTCCCCTCCCCATCGCCGCGGCCCCGCCTCGCCCAGGGCCGAGGCCCCGCCCCTGCCCGGCCGGGCCCCGCCTCCCCGGCCGGGGCGGGGCCCCCGGCCGCAGGAATATGCTGGAAGCTGGCGGGCGTGCGCCCGGGAGGTGCTGAAGGGACAGTTCCCGCCGCCGAACTTGCCCCGCGGACCGCGGGAGGGTGGGGCTGCAGAGGGCCGGCGGGGCACGTGAGCGATGGAGACCATCTGGATCTACCAGTTCCGCCTCATCGTCATAGGGGACTCCACCGTGGGCAAGTCGTGCCTCCTGCACCGCTTCACCCAGGGCCGCTTCCCGGGTCTGCGCTCCCCCGCCTGCGACCCCACCGTCGGCGTGGACTTCTTCTCCCGCTTGCTAGAGATCGAGCCAGGCAAGAGGAGCGGGGCACGTGAGCGATGGAGACCATCTGGATCTACCAGTTCCGCCTCATCGTCATAGGGGACTCCACCGTGGGCAAGTCGTGCCTCCTGCACCGCTTCACCCAGGGCCGCTTCCCGGGTCTGCGCTCCCCCGCCTGCGACCCCACCGTCGGCGTGGACTTCTTCTCCCGCTTGCTAGAGATCGAGCCAGGCAAGAGGATCAAGCTGCAGCTGTGGGACACGGCGGGACAAGAGCGGGTCCGGCCGCCCGCGCCTGGACCCCGGGGACCTCGGGGGCCGCACCACTCCCTCTGCCCTCCTGGACGCCCCTTTCCCAAGCATCAGCCTCACAGTCCGGCTCCAGCCCTTCCCTGTCGAAAGTGCAAACACTCCATTCTCGTTTCCCCTTTGCCCCTCCTCTTCCAGGGACGACTTCCTCCTCCGCAATTTCTCACTTCTTTCTTTGGCGCCCATTTCCTGCGCCCCTCTCCGTTTGTCCTTTCCCGCCTGAGCCTGAGCGCCCCTTGCCGGGCCCCTCTTTCTGCCCCTGTTGGTATTTTGATCCCCTTGGGCTCCCCCGCTGCTTCCTTCCCCAAACTCGGCTTCCCTCGCTGTACACACCCTGACCGGACTATCCGCTTCCAAGCGCCCCTAGTCCTACACTGACCCGGCGACTCCACCCTTCTGCGGCCCGGGAGAACGGCGAAGTGAGGTTCCCAGATTTTAACCGATCTTAGTGTCATAGCAAGCGTGCACCAGTCCAGGTTACTGCATGCGCTCACTGGGCATGGCTCACAGGGATAGATGCGGTAATCATTTGAACACCCACGGCAACTGAATGTGTTCATCAGAAGTACTGGGCCATGACCCGTGGGAACGAGTCTTGTAGGCAGCTCACTGCAACATCAGGGACACTGGCACAGCAGAGAGTATTTTTTGTTTGTTTTTAATGTGCTTCTGAGTGACTTAAGTTATCCTTAGAAGTTTGTCATCATCGGTGCTTTGGTAGGAAAAGAAATATACATTGAGATGGGCAGGAATTTGTTTATTTTACTTATGATTGATACTTACCATTCCGGGATGATATTAATAAATCAGAAAATACCTTTCTATATAGAAGGGATATCCAAATGAATACTCTTCATTTTAAATGTTCATTGGGAAAGTGAAAATTTTCACAAAGGCAACTTGTGTTAATTAAAAGTAAACAAACTATGCATTTCCTGGATATTTAAGATTGAACCAAATTTTAAAGTACATTTTAAATGTCTAGAATTCAAAGATACTTTGTTTTAGAGGAAAGTAAGGGAAGCTAATATACTGTAGTGTTTTGTTTCTTAAAGATTGTATTCTCAATTTAAGCAAGCATTATGCATTCCTCAGTAAGTATTCTGTTTGTGAAATACAGTCCTCTATCAGGGGACTTCCCAAACATGGCTTCCCCTGCCCCTAGCTAGCTTCTTTTGAATGAGATCAGCCTGCATCTGTGCGAATGGCCCAATATTGGAAGTTCTGGCTTCCTTTCCCAGCTGTGACAGTGATACATAGAGATGATAGGTGAATTACTTAGCTTGCTCACACAGTCACTTAGTTGTCCCGCATCTGAGGTGCTAGAGATGCTAAAACAGCCTTCAGAAAAGTGTTAAAGGTTATACGGGAACACGCAGTTAGTGTAATGGCTATGTTGCTGGACTCCTACGTAGTCGACCGCGGTTCGCGTTCCGGACCCGGTGGCTTAAAACTCACGCCGGGCGCTTGTGCGTGCGTGCCCAAGATCCCGCGAGGAGAAGGGATTGTGACATGACCATCCCCCCTGGGGGGTGATTTCTTGCTTTCTGTCTCTATGTCTCTGTCTGTCTGTCTGGCGAGTGCACGCACCCTATAGCAAAAACCTCTCCAAAAAAAAAAAAAAGTGTTAAAGGTTATTCATCTGCTCTGTACAGTACTTATAATTCCATTTAGAGAATTTTTTTTCCTTTCCAAGAAGACTCCTTCAATTAAAGTACATTTTCAAATTTCCAAATAAAGTAGCACTTATGATTTCCAAGGTTCTTTCCAGTTGTACCATTCTAAGGTTGATTGCAAATGCCCTCTTTCACTTTTGAACTACATCAGATGTGAACTTTGAAATTTCAGGGTCAGAAGGAAGCACTTAGTAATCTGTGTCTCACTACTCATTAAAGTGAATATTATAAAAACATGTTCTTAATATCTTAACTTTTTGCAACTACTATTAATTGTGACTAAAAGAAACATAGGTAGGGACCAGCAGATGACATAATGGCTATGTCGCTTAAACTCAAGCTGGGCATGTATGCGTGCATGCCCAAGATCCTGAAACGAGAATGGAGGAGAAGGGAATGGCTGCATGGCCATCCCCTCTGGGGGGTGACTTCTCGCTTTCTGTCTCTGTCTTTCTGGTGAGTGCACACACCCGAAAAACCCTTTAAAAAAAAAAAAAAGAAGAAGATTTTTCTGCTCAATATTCAGGTAATTGTTTTATAGGCCCCCCATTTTTAAAAGTTTTTGCCATAGGACACGTGCATTCGCCAGAGAGAGAGAGAGACAGTGAGAAGGAATGTGATAAATCATCCCCTGGGGGGATGGCCATGCTGCAGTCCCTTCGCTTTCATTCTTCTTTCAGGATTTTGGGCACGCACATACATGTGCCCAGCATGAGTTTCAAGTTGCTGGGTCCAGGACTGGAACACTGGTTGGCCATGTGAGAGTCCAGGGCCTTAACCACCATGGCACTTGCTGGCCCTTTTTTTTTTCCTGAGAGATTTTTGCTATAGGGTCATATGTTTGCCAGAGCGACTGAGAGAGACAGAGAGAGTGAGTGAAAAATCACCTCCTGGGGAGATGGCCATGCCACAGTCTGTTCTTCTCCATTCTCACCTTGGAATTTTGGGTACACCCACACATGTGGCATGAGTTTCAAGCTGCTGGCTCTGGGACTTGAACTGTGATGGGCCATGTGGGTATCCTGCACCTTAACCACTATGCCACCTGCTGGCCCCTGACCCCTGTTTTTAATGCCCTAGAGAAGATTATAAATAACCATTTATTTTGCATATATTTTTAAACACAGATAGTAACTCTTATAACAATGTAGGGACATTTAGGAAATATAGTGAGTCATATTTTACTTTGGGTGTTTACTAAAAATATATTCATAAACACATACATATTTCAGTAGCTACCGCCAGATACTTGCTTTTCTCTCATTTAGCAAAATGTTTTACACACACACAAAAAATGCATTTAAAAAGGTTACTGTTAAATCATGTGTATCTTTCATCAAGAAAATACAAATGCTTATTTCAAATAATATATCCTTGCACACTTTATTTTATAGATGGGTACCAGATAGTTCATGAAGACATATTCCCAACATTAGTCATAATCATATCATGAGGAATTTATGGGTAATACCATATTTGCAGCTTTATTGGTGATTAGGTATAAATTTATAAGAAAGAATGGCTTTGGATAGCTCGTGGGGTGATTTGAAAACATAAATATGTTACAGAGAAATAAAACATCTGTGGTAAGCTGATAATTATGATCATGATTAGTTTTCAATGTTCAGATTAACATATGTTAGTAGACAATAACTACTTGCATAAAGTAAAAAAGGGGCCAGCTCTGTGGTACAGTGATGGTGCATTGTGCCAGAGAAGCCAGATCCCACAAGGTGACTATGGTTCATATCCCTGGTCTGGCTGGCTTGACATACAGTACAAGAGTGCCGAAGATCCAAGGGGCGGAAGGACCGGAAGAGGGTAGTGACATGATCCACCCCTATGGAAGACACTCATCTCTGACTCTTATCTCTCGCTCTCACATGCATGTACATGTGGTCTACCGTGAATAAAGATTAAAAAACTTTTTTTAAACTGTAATTAAATGATGGGCTAGCCTACAGCCAAGTGGTTAAGGCAATTGGATTTCATATGGCTGACTAGGGTTTGTATCTGGCTTAGAAAACACACTGGGGCCATGTGCATGCATGTCCAGATGTCAACATGATGAGGAGACAGAGGGGAAGGGATTATAGTGATGTGACAATGTTCTTTCTCCCCTTATTTCTACCTGGCTGTCTCTATCTGGTGAGTGCACAATAGCAATTGAAAATAATTGAAAAGGAACAAAATCAAAGTGAAATAGAGAAAAATAATGTGTATTGAACACACTATAAACTAATATTACACTCAAAAGTAGTATTTTATTATTAACTATGTTTTCTTGAAGTTAGATTTTTGTATTAAGGAAACTCAGAATTTCAGGGCTTTCATTAAAGATAGTTTATTTCACTCATATAATAGTCTCAAGGTAAGTGTTTCAAGTTGATGGAGTAATTTTGTTTTAAGCCATCTATCAAGAACCTTCTCTTAGTTTTCTGCCATTCCTAGGATATTATCGTCATTTGTGTGAACAAAACAGGTTGCAGATACTCTGTGTCAGCTCAGGGGAAAGTGAAAGAGAATGAGATCTAATTATCAGTCCTTTTAAGCAAGTGAGGCTAACATGGTACAGGTCGTTTTGGCTCTCAATTCACTGGGGAGAACTTAGTTACAAGGCCACACTTAGACTGGCCAGGAAGTAGGGAAGATGAATTTGACATTATTGGTATTGTGAAGAAACTAGCACTCATCACTTTATATAATTTTTAACTATCATATTGAGAGAGTAGTAGTTTAGGAGCAAAGGGAGTGAGAGTATTCTTTACTGAGACCAGCAGATGGCGTAATAGTTATGTCCCAGAGTCCCAGACATGGTGGTTTGAAACTCACAATGGGCATGTGCGTATGTGTGTCCAAAATCCTAAAAGGAGAATGGAGGAGAGGGGATTGTGGTGTGGCCATCCTCCCCCATGTGGAAGATCAGAGTTTAATTCCAGCTCAACCTAAGCAGGCCAGTAGAGGCAGCATGTGCCTGTGGCCCTAGTTAGCTGGGAGGCTGGGGCAAGAGGAATGGGACATGGCAAGACGATGTAAGAAATGCACCTGTCTTTATTTTAATTATTTGGGATCAGCAGTTAGCGTAATGGCTATGTCGCTGGACTCCCATGTAGCTGACC